TAACCAGAAGGCAGGCAAGAGGGTGGGTGGCTTCCCAGGACAAGAGTACAGGAAGGACAGCATGTTGCCAAATGCTTCAGGGAAGCAACACAACCAGACAACACCTCCTGCCTCTAGTTTTAGGTAGTATGGTTAGGAAAAACCACCCACCCCAGACCTTGGAGAACCAATGCTTGCTGGCTGGCATAGTGGTTAGAACAGGCATGGCCAAACTTGGCCCTCCAACTGTTTTGGGACTACAACTCCCATCATCCCTAGCTAACAGGACCAGTGGTCAGGGATGATGGGAATTGTAGTCCCAAAACATCTGGAAGGCCGAGTTTGGCTATGCCTGGGTTAGAGTGCCAGTCTAGGGCCTGGGAGAGCAGGGTTCAAATCCCTGCTCCACCATGAAGCCCACCAGGTGACCCTGATCTAATCACTGCCTCTCAGCCTAACCAAACTTGCAAGGTTGCTGTCAGGATAACATGGGGAGTAGCAGGACTAGGTATGACGCCCCAAGCATTTGGGAAGAAAGGAGGTACGCGGGTGGCGCTGTGGGTAAAAGCCTCAGTGCCTAGGGCTTGCCGATCGAAAGGTCGGCGGTTCGAATCCCCGCGGCGGGGTGCGCTCCCATTGTTCGATCCCAGCGCCTGCCAACCTAGCAGTTCGAAAGCACTCCCGGGTGCAAGTAGATAAATAGGGACCGCTTACTAGCGGGAAGGTAAACGGCGTTTCCGTGTGCGGCTCTGGCTTGCCAGAGCAGCGATGTCACGCTGGCCACGTGACCCGGAAGTGTCTCCGGACAGCGCTGGCCCCCGGCCTCTTGAGTGAGATGGGCGCACAACCCTAGAGTCTGTCAAGACTGGCCCGTACGGGCAGGGGTACCTTTACCTTTACCTGAGGGCTAAATATGCAGTGATATAGTATATAAAATAAAAACAAGCACCAGGCTAGATAGACTTGTATTCTGACTCAGTACATAAGGCAGCTTCTTATGTTTTCCATGTTACAGAGCAAAGAGGCAAAGAGATCGTCAACTGCGGCGCAGTGAATATTCTGCAAGGGAGATGCAACGTGAAAACAGTGGCTCGTTCAGATTTCAAAAACGGCGCACCACACTGAAAATAAAACTGTAACAAAACAGATACTTTTTTTTTTAATGGCATTTGCCACAATTGCATGAAGCGATTTGTGCTTTCGTCAAGCATACCTGGACCATGGGCCCATTTAATTGTTTAACAAAAATATAGCGACTCACTGGACAGGAGAGGCAAGGCATCGATGGCATTGCGGAAGAAACGCCTGGAGGGCGATATGCTCAGTGGGGCAACACCCGCCTGGTGCCCTTGTAAGATGAGGGGTGTCGCGGGGGGGGGGATGCAAAGAGAAGCAGCAGTTGGTGGAAAGCACTGAAATGTAAGCATGGAAATGGCACAGTGAGTCTTACCAGGAGTGGCAGGAACCTTGTGGCTTCACACCTGGCAATGGGAGGAGAAAACTGGGGGCGAGAAGAACGTATTTCACAGGCACCCACACTTCTCTCTTTTAGTATTAAGGCAGGGGTGGGGGCACTTTTTCCAGGCTGAAGGCCGCATTCCCTTCTGGGGGCCACACACCAGCGGTGGTCATGGCCAGAGGCAAAAGAAGGTCCATAGATTCATAGAATTGTAGAGAATCTGAGGATAATCTAGCCCAGGGGTCAGCAAACTTTTTCAGCAGGGGGCCAGTCCACTGTCCCTCAGACCTTGTGGGGGACCAGACTATATTTTGGGGGGGATGATGCAAGAGCGCCACGAGCCCCAGTGGCTGCTTACCTGGTGGGGCAGGGGCCGGTGGCGGCGGGGTAGACTATGAGCGAAAGGGCTCTGGAGAGGGGCTGCTTAAAATGGCGGCCGCTCGAGCACTGCTGCTGCTGCTGGCATCAAAAAAGCCCAGCCCCCTTCCTCCTCTAGGCCAGTGTTTTTCAACCACTGTTCCGCGGCACACTAGTGTGCCGCGAGATGTTGCCTGGTGTGCCGTGGGAAAAATTGAAAAATTCGAAAGATTAAAACGTCGCGACTCGAGTCACCAGGAGGACCGGAGCAGGAGGAGACGGACGGAGACCAGGACTCGGCGGGAGTCGGCACTGCAGAGAGACCGCATCCGGATCCAGACCAGGCCGCAGGTGCAGCGTGAGGTGAGGAGGTCATCTGGAACCAGTCAGTCACGGTCGGGTCTCGGAAGAGAGACGAGTGAGTCCAGCCCTGTGCAGCAGCAGCAGCCCGGTAATATATATAGTCAATATAGGCACAGAGTTAAATTTTTTAACATTTCCTAATGGTGGTGTGCCTCGAGATTTTTTTCATGAAACAAGTGTGCCTTTGCCCAAAAAAGGTTGAAAAACACTGCTCTAGGCAGGGCAGGGAGAAGTCAGGAGGAGGGAGGAAGGAAGCGGAGGAGGAGGAGGAGAGGAAGGAGGGAGATGGAAAGAATGAGCGTGCTGGTGATCCAACATGGCAATTCCCAGACCGTCTGCAGGCCGGATCCAGAAAGCAATTGGGCCTGGTCTGGCCCCCGGGCCTTAGTTTGCCGACCCACGATGTAGCCCAACTCCCCTGCAATGCACGATACAATGAATGCCAAATTTGCCTTTGTGTGGTAGGTTAGTTTCCACACACGCAGCCAGCCCTTTCTATCCCCCATCCACGGAAGCATGACCAGTGTCCAAGGGCACACTGAAGGCTGGCTTAGAAGGCCACCATTGGCTCCCAAGGTGAAGGCCCCGCATTCCTGATTGAAACAAACACAGCCAGATATACATATGCAACTCAAAAGCACTCGTGGCCTAGCAGGCTGCGGAGCCACAAATCAAAAGAGGATCGAGGTTGCCTCACAGCACACTCCCACCACGCAGGGTTGCAACAGGCCCTACATCGCTCACAGTGCAAGTCTGGACACTGAGCCAGCTGGGAAGCAACGAACCATTCAGCTTACCAAAGGGTCCCCAAAGGCCTGAACTGAAGGAAGCAATGGAGGCAGGAGGAGGGTACCGATTTAAGAAGGCGGGACAGAGACACCACCACACCTTGCCTCATGGGGAGGGCCCTAATAATAATAATAATAATAATAATAATAATAATAATAATAATAATTTATTATTTATACCCCACCCATCTGGCTGGGTTTCCCCAGCCACTCTAGGTGGCTTCTAACAAAATATTAAAATGCAATAACCTATTAAACATTAAAAGCTTCCCTAAACAGGGCTGCCTTCAGATGTCTTCTAAAAGTCTAGTAGTTGTTTCTCTCTTTGACATTTGGTGGGAGGGTGTTCCACAGGGCGGGTGCCACTACCGAGAAGGCCCTCTGCCTGGTTCCCTGTAACTTGGCTTAGATCAGTGGAAGAACACATGCAGTGCATGCCAATGTCCAGTCCCCAAAAGCTTCAGCTAAATGGAGCCTCGGGTTAAGAGGTGATGGGGAAGACCTGAGGTCTTGGGCAGTAGGGTGAAGATGGGACTAGAAGCCTGATTCAGTCCAAGGCGGCTTCCCAAGTCCAATGCACAAGATCATACTGATTCCTTGGAGAAGAGCCATAGCTCAGTGGGTCAAGAATGCAGAAGGTCCCCGGCATCTCCAGATAGGACTGGAAGATATTTTTGCTTGGAGCCTTGCAGAACTGCTGCCAGTCCGTGCAGACAATGCCAAACCAGACAGACCTGGTATGAAGCAGCTTCCTGCCCTCCTTTACTTTCAGAGGGCTGAAGAAGCATGCAGACCTGAACCTCCACACCACATCCTGGCCCACGAGTCCTCCTGCCCCTGTCTAGAGATACCACACCCCTTCCTGCACAAGCGAGTTGGCCATCTATGGACCAGAAGCACAGAAGACATGGGACCACCGCAACTTCAACAAAAAGGGGATGGGTTTGCCTCGCCTTTCGGAACACGCATTCCACACAGCTCCTGGGCAATGGATTTGTGCCAGAAATGCCAAATGCCCTCGTCATCCAGCGTGGCTAAGAGTGTCAGACCAGGACCTGGAAGACTATAGAGTCTGACTCAGTGCATTGAGTGACCTCATGGCAATTACTACTGCCTCTAAGCCAAACCTACTGCACAAGGCTGTGGCAAGAGGAGGGAAAGATGTGGGGCTGGAACCATTTTCACATCACTTTGTGGTTCTTGGTGGAAAAGTCGGAGGGGGTGACGGGATGCAAATTTAATATAAATAAAACCCTCTCCCACCTCTTTTCTAACTTGCCATTGCCACTTCCAAAATAAGATTGACAGCAAATAGAGGGTTTTTTAAACACACACACAACTGCAGGAAAGCAATTTCCAAAATAAGATTGACAGCAAATAAAGAGGTTTTTTAAATAAAAAACACCAAAAAAAAAACCTGCAGGAAAGCAATTTCTGACCAGCAGCACCATCTAGGACTTGGGGGCAGAAACGCAACAAAACGGGCACCTCCCTCGCCCACCCAAATGTGGCAATGCCCATCATCCCGCACTTAAAACAACCAGGTCCAGAGTTTAACATTACAGACATGCCAACCACAGTTTTGGGCAGCCTTTTCCCCTTCTTTATTTTTAGAGTTGCCACATGTTTCTTTGTTTCTCTCCGGCTGCAACAGAAAGGCGGCTTTCCCCTCTCCCCCCCCCCCTCAAGCCAAGCGCCTTAAACGAAAGTTTTGTGTTTGTTTTTTTTTAACTCTCGGCCATTCTCACGCTACGAGGCTCCGAGATAACCAGACAGATAACCACCAGGGGAAGTATTTTTAAGAAAAGCAAGCAAGGAAACAGAAGTCTGCCCAAGAAGGGCGCGGCGGGGGCTTCTTCTCGTCTCGCTTTGGGCTTCCACTTACCCAGCCAGGGAGGAAGTGAGGACAGGGTGGGGGCCAAGGAGGATCGGGTGCGTCTTTCCCCCGGAGAGGGAGCTCGTATATATATGATTTTCCAGCTTCCACGCTCTCCGATTCCCTGCAAGGGACGGAGGCGCAGGAAAGGGCGCGCAGGGCGCAGCGTTCCTCTTACCTTGACGAAGAGCTCGACTTGGGGCTGCTCCTCGGCCATGTCGAGGGAGGCTGGGCGCGCTGGGGTTGGGGGGAGGGAGGGAAGCTGCTTTGGGGGAGCAAAGGAGAAGTTTCGGTGGGTTGAAGGGAGAGGACGACGGGCCGCGCCGATCGGCTCAAAAAGAGAAAGAAAAGCAAAGCCTCTCGCAACTTCAAGCAACTTCCCTCCGCCGCTCCGGGCCACGCCCAGGAACTGAGCCCGGGCGAGCCGTGAGTCACCGAGGATGGGCGGATGGGAGCAGAGCGCGGGCGGAGGGAGAGAAGGAAGGGAGGGAGAGAGAGGGAGAGGACCAGCCCCGGCTGGGGGGCTGTGGAGCAGCCGCGGGGTGGGATCCTCTCTTGCCCCAACCTCCTTCGCTTCGCCTTCTGCTACGATTTCGCTCCCGTTGCCCCTTTTCCACTTTCTCAGCCTCTTCCTTAAAGCCCTAAAGCAGAGGGGAAACTAGGCTTCATTTCACCTGGGTCAAAGTTTGGCACGCACAGTTGTGGTGGTCTGGTAGTAAGGTGAAAGCTTACTCGGAAATGATGTATAATGAAATGAAAAGGATGTTTAAAATAACGTGTTTTAAAAACAAACACAAAACCCAGCAGCCTTTCTTTTGAGAATTATAAAGGTAAAGGGACCCCTGACCATTAGGTCCAGTCGTGACCGACTCTGGGGTTGCGCCGCTCATCTCGCTTTACTGGCCGAGGGAGCCGGCGTACAGCTTCCAGGCCATGTGGCCAGCATGACTAAGCCGCTTCTGGCGAACCAGAACAGTGCATGGAAACGCCATTTACCTTCCCACCGGAGCGGTACCTATTTATCTACTTGCACTGGTATGATTTCAAACTGCTAGGTTGGCAGGAGCAGGGACCGAGCAATGGGAGCTCACTCCGTCGCAGGGATTCAAACCGCTGACCTTCTGATCAGCAAGTCCTAGGCTCTGTGGTTGAACCCACAGCGACACCCACGTCCCTTTGGGAGTTATAGGGGTTACTTAAACCAAGCATGGCCAAACTCGGCCCTCCAGATGTTTTGGGTCTACAACTCCCATCATCCCTAGCTAACAGGACCAGTGGTCAGGGATGATGGGAATTGTAGTCCCAAAACTTCTGGAGGGCTGAGTTTGGCCATACCTGACTTTAATAATAATAATAATAATAATAATAATAATAATAATAATAATTTATTATTATTTGTGCCCTCTCTTTGACATCTGGTGGGAGGGTGTTCCACAGGGCAGGTGCCACTACCGAGAAGGCCCTCTGCCTGGTTCCCTGCAACCTCACTTCTCACAGTGAGGGAACCACCAGAAGGCCCTGGAGCTGGACCTCAGTGTCGGGGCTGGATGATGGGGGTGGAGACGCTTCTTCAGGTATACAGGACCAAGGCCGTTTAGGGCTTTAAAAGTCAACACCAACACTTTGAATTGTGCTCGGAAACTGTATAGAAACTTGTTCATGTATGCGACTACAGCAGCAAGAATGTGACTTGCCCCAAAATGGAAAGAAAACGGATACAAAAACTTATGGAATATGCAGAAATGGCAAAACTTAGCGGAAGAATAATAAATCAAGATGACAAACTTTTTATAACAGGATGGAAATGGTTTATTGAACATTGACAGATAAGTTGTAAACAGATAAGAACACTGGCAGGATTCTTGTAATAACCTGCAGTTTCATAAGAGTATATATTTAAAGAAGGCGAATGAATGAGCAAATAAGTTAATTTAGTTATGCAGGAGATATTAAAAATTAATTTAATGAACTGCAGAAAGGGGGGAGGAAGTCAAATTTTGAAATATCAAAATGATTGTAAAATCAGTGAAATGTATAAACCTGAAAAGTATAAATAAAATAATAATAATAAGTTTGGCACGCACCACCCACCAGGTTGGGAGGCCACTCTGAAGGCTTCACCCAGGGCAAAAAAACCTGGCTAGCCCCCCAACCCCTTGTAGCTACGGAGGACACTCAATTGATAACTTGTTCCCTCCCTCCAAAAAAATGCAGGGACATGGGGGAGCCTGTGGCTCTCCAGATGTTTGCAGTGCACTGCAGCTCCCATGCTCCTTCCCCGCTGACCCCTCTGGCTGGGACAGGTGGGTGAGGCAGTGCCAGCAGCATCGCGAGGGCCACAGGCCTCTGCCCCCACCCCCGACATGCCATCCCTGTTTTAAAGCATAAAAGTGGCCCGCCTCTTTCCATGGGCTACAGCGACGTAAGCGACACTGCTTGCCCCATTGCAGCTGGTCCAACAGGTTTCTCAGGCTCTGGCTATGTTACAAAAGCCTGCCAGTCCTGTTGAGCTGAGGGTAGAGTCTCCCAGAGGTGTGGGGGCTCCGTCTCCAAAGCTTATTCTGGCCAATGTAAAGCACTTTTCTCGGGGGGGCAGGGAGATGTTGTTGTTGTTGTTTAGTCGTGTCCGACTCTTTGTGATCCCATGGACCAGAACACGCCAGGCACTCCTGTCTTCCACTGCCTCCCACAGTTTGGTCAGACTCATGCTGGTAGCTTCCAGAACACTGTCCAACCATCTCATCCTCTGTCGTCCCCTTCTCCTTGTGCCCTCCATCTTTCCCAACATCAGGGTCTTTTCCAGGGAGTCTTCTCTTCTCATGAGGTGGCCAAAGTATTGGAGCCTCAGCTTCACGATCTGTCCTTCCAGTGAGCACTCAGGGCTGATTTCCTTAAGAATGGATGCGTTTGATCTTCCTGCAGTCCATGGGACTCTCAAGAGTCTCCTCCAGCACCATAATTCAAAAGCATCAATTATTTGGCGATCAGCCTTCTTTATGGTCCAGCTCTCACTTCCATACATCACTACTGTGGGCAGGGAGATAGTCTTGCTGAAATCAAAGTGACTGGGCCGTTTCACACATTGTATGGCTCAAATGGGAAGGGCCCTAGATTTGGGGGGGAGGTGTCTGCTCCACAAGCAGAAGGTCCCAGGTTCAGTCCCCACCCCCCACCATCTCCATCTAGGACTGGGAGGGTCTCAAACCCTTGGGAGCCTAAACTGCCACTCAGCGTTGACAATATTGAGCTACATGCACCAACCCTCCACTTCCCAGTTTCCTCTTTGTTTGTACAAACCTCGGTTTGTCACAAGTAACACTCAGCTGAGAGCTGTAGCCAATACAGTGGTTTCTTGGGTTACAGACGCTTCAGGTTACAGACACTTCAGGTTACAGACTCCGCTAACCCAGAAATAGTACCTCAGGTTAAGAACTTTACCTCAGGATGAGAACGAAAATCGCACGGCAGCAGCAGGAGGCCCCATTAGCTAAAGTGGTACCTCAGGTTAAGAACAGTTTCAGGTTAAGAATGGACCTCCAGAACGAATTAAGTTCTTAACCTGAGGCACCACTGTATAGCTCTCTCTGGCAAAGCATATTTGCACATTTCACACTTTGCAAAGGCCTACATTTGTTGCATTTGTGAGTTATGTTTTCAGGAGCGTTTTTTAAAGAAGATCGCCTAAATGTACACCTTAAAAGGTGGAGGAGATAATTTATGGCCTTCTAATTGATAGGCTTCATTTACATAACTAAAAGAAGGGTGCTGGAGGTTTATAGAACAAGTGTGGAGAGAATGGTTAAGAACTTCTCTTCCCAAGCACGGAAATTTGGAGCCAGGCCTTGAATTTGACTTCTTAGTGGATTCGGGAAAGAAAGGGTTACTTCTCCATGCAGCATCTAACAAGCTTGCGGGATTCGTTGTCACAACATGCTGCCTTAAAAAAATAAAGACAAGACAAGACAAATTTATCGAGGACACCTAAGTGGAAGCTGTACATTTAGAAACAGAACACCTCTTGTTGGGGGTTAAACAGCAATTTTGCCCTGCTTGTAAACGTCTCACAATATCCAGCTAGTATTCCCACTCCCACAACTGGGCTGGCTAGGCCTTTGGAGCTTTTTTCCTTCGGAGAAAAGAACACAAAAATCCTCTTGCTCCAGTTTTCTTGAATCTTCCATTCTGTTTCATCCCCTTGTTCTTACTAATCCCTTGTTATTGCAAAAATAATTACTACCACAGTTATGATTGCTACCCCATATTGTTACTAAAATGCCTGTCACGATGATGTTTATGTGTCTATGTCGGAAGGGAAAGGCCTGTGAACAAGCAAAGATGTGTGCCTTGAGTGCAGAACTGGGGCACGAAGAACCTTTGGCTCTCCAGATGTGACTGGACTACAACTGCCATCAACCCCTGACCGTTGGCTGCGCTGGCTGGGGCTGATGGGAGTTGGAGTCCAACCGCATCTGGAGCGCCGCAGCTTCTTCCCATCCTTCGTATGGAACGTCTAGCCCAGTGTTTCCCAAACTTGGGTCTCCAGCTGGTTTTGGACTACAATTCCCATCATCCCTAGCTAGCATGACTGGTGGTCGGGGATGATGGAATTTGTAGTCCGAAAACAGCTGGAGAGCCAAGTTTGGGAAAACACTGGTCTAGCCTCTGCTATTGCTCATTCTGACAGGATTCAGCAGGAGCCCCTCAAAAAGAAAGCTAACCCTAGCTAACAATGTCTGGCTGACCAGTGGCACCATCTGGACTGCGCATTTAAAGCAGTTTCACGCCACTTCGAACAGACATGGCTTCCCCCAAAGAATCTCAGGAACTGCAGTTTGTTGTGAGCGCTGAGAGTTGTTAAAGGTAAAGGTAAAAGGACCCCTGACCATTAGGTCCAGTCGTGGCCGACTCTGGGGTTGCGGCGCTCATCTCGCTTTATTGGCCGAGGGAGCCGGTGTACAGCTTCCGGGTCATGTGGCCAGCATGACTTAAGCCACTTCTGGCGAACCAGAGCAGCGCACGGAAACGCCGTTTACCTTCCCACCGGAGCGGTACCTATTTATCTACTTGCACTTTGACGTGCTTTCGAACTGCTAGGTTGGCAGGAGCAGGGACCGAGCAACGGGAGCTCACCCCGCTGTGGGGATTCAAACCGCCGACCTTCTGATTGGCAAGTCCTAGGCTCTATGGTTTAACCCTATTCCTCTCACAGGCCTACACTTCCCAGAGTGGAGCTTCAAGGGGTTTGAAGGGCGAAGGGCTCCCCGTTTGTGGAATTCTCTCCCCAAGGAGGTTTGCCTGGCACCATCATTATATATCTTTAGGTGCCAGGCGAAAACCTTCCTCTGTAACCAGACCTTTGGCCTTTA